TTCTTTGTTTTTTTGTGATTTTCCCCCTAAAACAAAAAAAAAAAAAAAAAAAAAAAAAAAAAGAATGAAAGATTCCTAGTGAGATCAGGAGGCTGTAGTTCTCTGTTGTCACCTCCTACACAGGGTTCTGGAGCCTCCATTCCTCCTGTGTGAAATCCGTAGTTAAACCCCCAGATGCATTGAAGGCCACTTAATCAAGTAGATGAGAAATTGGTCAAGGTGTGGAAGTTTCAGCCTTTGCCAAGGTCAGCAAGGGATGAGTGAAAGAAATGAGAAGCTAAAGGGACAGGGAGCCCTGCTGTGCTGATTTCTAGATAGTTTTCCTCTCATGTTTCTAAACTTGAAGTTGCTCTGTATCTCTCTCTGGTCAAATTAAAATAAATGAATGAAGAAATAAAATTTTAAAAAAATTTGTAACAGGGGCCAGAAGGTGGCATGGTAGTTAAGGGCACCGGACTCCCATATGGCCAATCATGGTTTGAGTCCTGGACCTGACAGCTTGCTTTCTCACTTTCTCTCTCTCTCTCTCTCTGTCCCTCTCTGGTCAAATTAAAATAAATAAATAAATAGGTAAAATTATATAAAATAATTCTTTTTAAAATGTAGCAATGTTCAATAACTTACTTGAGCGATAAAAATATTCATTTTATAGTTATCTTTTATTTTTATTCACAATAGAGAAATAAGTGAGAAAGAGAGAGAACCCCAATGGGGTTTGGTCCCTCCACGTTTATTTTTCCTCCCAGTTCTTCTCTATCTCATTAAGATCCTGGGCATGTGCTCAAGAGTTCACATGAAGTCCACCAGTCCAGGATTGAACCACTGATAAGCTATATGGCATTTGACTTCTACCTAACAGTTGCGCCATGGAGCTGGCTATCACTTTAAATAGAGCCTTGTAGCACAGTATAAATGGGTGAATGGACACTCTGAAGGAAGTACGCTATACCTTTAACAGAATCAATCACCTCTGAGAATGCTATGAGCATTATGATTGGTGGCCAAAGGTGACTTCTATTAACTTCTTCAATGAATATTTGTTGAGCACATCCTATGTTGCAAACATGTTCTTAATGCTAGAAGTGTAGCCATGAAAGAGACAAAAAAGACACTACTCACATGGAGCTCACTTTCTAATAGGGGTGACTTAGAAAATAAGCTAAGATACATACACACACACACACACACACACACGCACAATACTTGTCATAAGTGTTATGCAACAAACTTAGCAGGGAAGATGAACAGTGTGGGATTTTGATTTTCTGATGCAACAGAGACCTAGCTGAGAAGGTGATGTGGGAGGAAAGATTTGAAGGAGGTGAGGGTAGAGTCCTGTAGAGGTCTGAGGTGAAAGTTGTAATGAAAGGGAATATCTTGTGCTTCCTAATGACTTTTCTCTGTAAATCTATTCACCACTGAGAAATAGTAAGGTTTCCCCCAAATTTTAATACAAGAGATACTGTGTTGGTGTTGCTGCTATTTTTACAGCGTTGAATGAGTCAGTTTAAAACCGGACTTAACAGAATGGTTCACACAATTAAAACGTGGTTTAAGACCTTCGAAGTTTTGAGCAAATTGAGGCTATAGTCACGCATACTAAGTGTGTATGTTTATGAAATGGACGATTTTGGAATACAGGATTTGAATAAACAGGTCCTTCAGTGGCTCTGTCCAGTTTTGTAAGCTTTCTATAGCTACTTGATAACAGTGCTGTACAAAATCCAAAGGATTTGCCAAGGTACTCAACTGTCATTGGAATCAATAAGTTATAAGTGGGAGAATATTTCTGGATCTGTGAATGTAGGGCTAACAAGTTATGTATGCCATTACCTTCAGGGACAATAGCTAAAGTAACAGGAAAGGCTGACTATGGTCTTTAAGAAAAACTTGCCAGAGGGTATGTGTGCTTGCCAGAGAGACAGAGAGAGAGAAAAGGTTAGAAGAAACCACCCCTTATAGGGAATGGTCACACTGCAATCCCTTTTCCTCCAATCTCTCTCTCCTTTCAAGATTTTCAGCACACACACAGCGCACACACACACACACACACACACACACACACAGGGTGTTAAGTTGCTGCATCAGGGACTCGAACCCTGCAGTTGGCCATGTGGAATCAAGCCCCTTAGCCACTAGACCATGGCTTGCCCTTGATGAGTCTTTGGTAACTAGCCTACATATTACAGGTGATGTCACCAAGTAGTCACAGTTTATTACATCACAATGGGTTTTGCATATGAAGTTCAGACCTTTGTTAGGCTTTGGCTGATCTCTCCTGAGGGTATGTAGTAGTAAGAGATTTTTGGGTATTGTTTTTCCTTTCTTTTTCTTAAAAAAATATGACAGGGTGTTTTTAAAATATTTTCATGGTTAATTCATAGAAAAGTGTGCTTATGTCCATGACAAAGGTATTCAACAATACTCCTTTTCCTTCTCAGGGCACAGTGTAAGAGTGTGATTTACAGCTAGTGCTGCCCTACAGGGGGGAGGACTCAGACTTCATGTACACAAGAATGAGATACTAATTTCACCAGTCTGATAGGTAGGTATCAAAATTCTCAGTTCTATGTTGTCTTTTATTCTCTTCTGCTCGATAGGCTCATATTCAAAGGTAGGCTTCTCACTGAGCTTTCTCTGTGAATATCTAGTTAGGCACTATGTTCATGTGTACTTAGGAGGTATAATTGTTAATTATATTGGTCATGAGAGTTTATCCCATGTAGTGGGAAATATCAACCTTCTTGGTAAGTTCCAACTCCCCTAAACTCAGTTCAAATTCAAAGCCCCAGAAAAGGTAACTATTTGACGAGAGTAGAACGTGTGGATTTTTAGATACATGACTTTCTTCTTCTTCTTCTTCTGTTTTTGCCATAGGGTATGTTTGCTTGCTGGAGACAGAGAGAGACAGAGAGAGAAAAAGTGAGAAATCACCCCATAGAGGGGATGGCTACACTGCAATCCTTTCTCCTCCATTCTCCTATTGGGATTTTGGGCATGCATGCACACGTCTTCACCATGATTTTCAAGCTGATGGGTCTGGGACTCAGACTGTAGTCGGCTATGTAGGAGTCCAGCACCTTAACCACTATATCACCTTCTGGCCCAACTTTCTAAAATGTTTTAAGGCAGTTTATACTGGTATTACAGAAGTTTGGTAGAAAATGTATGTGCATTAGACTTCAGCCAATATTATAGCTATAGTAGTAAGGCTCAACCTTGAAGAAAGGAAGGAAGGGTTATTTCAGTAACCTGAGAGCTTTCAAGGCTGTCAGAGTAGTCTAACACCTTCATAAACCTTAGAGCTGGGAAGGAATTTGATACATATTTTTTTCATCCCCCTGGATCGCTGAAGAAAGAACCTTCTATCATCCTACAGGGGCATCTCTGAAGGCCGATGTGAACCTTCCCTTATGAAATGCCTTCTAAATGGCCTTTTAATTAAGAAGTTTTATTTAGACTTAACTGACATCACTCCTGAGAAAGATAAGGCATGAACTCATTTCTCATGTATTTAAAGGTAGAAATCTTCAGCTGTTGGAATTCAACTTACATATTATTATTTTTTCCACAGCACAAGGCAGACCCTCCAGAACGTTCTAAGGTAAATTGTTTATTATTGTTTGATGATGTCTTTTTCTCTTGTGTATTTTTTAATTTTTTTTTTGCCACAGGGCACGTGTACTCACTAGAGAGAGACAGAGAGAGATAGTGAGAGAGAAAGTAAGAAATTACCCCTTGGGGGTATGGACATGCCACAATCCCTTCTCCTCCTGGGATTTTAGGCATGCACGTACCCATGTCTGGCATGATTTTTTTTTTCTTTTTCTTTTTTTTTTTTTGGAGAGGTTTTTGCTACAGGGTGTGTGTGCTCACCAGAAAGACAAAGAGAGACAAAAAGCGAGAAATCACCCCCTGGTGTGATGGCCACGCCTCAATCCCTTCGCTTCCATTCTCCTCAGGATCTTGGGCACACATGCACATGCACCCGGCGTGAGTTTAAGCCATCGGGTCTACGACTCGAACTGCTGTCGACTACATGGGAGTTCAGCAACAGAGCCGTTATGCCAACAGCTGGTCCCACTTATAATTCTGTTTTAAATAATTATTTATCTGTTTTATTTATTATTTTATTTTATTTTATTTTATTTATTACTCAACTTGACCAGAAAGAGACAAGGAATGAGAGAGAGGAAGAGTAAGAAAGTAAGCTCACAGGTCCAGGACTTGAACTGTGGTCAGCCATGTGGGAGTCCAGCCTTTCAACCACCATGCCTTCTGCTGGCCCCTCTTCCTTATCACTTTGAATAAATAAGAAATACCCAACATGATTTTATTAAAGTGATCCATGAAATGAAATGAAATGAACTTTCTCAAAATATATGGTAAGAAGCTATCAACCTGAATGAATTCCCATTTCACACTTATATTTCACATACTTAGTTTCTTGTGGAACTATGAGATGGTTACCTACATCTATCTGCTATGATCTCTAAAGATAGTCTTGATACTCCTCCTGCTTAGAGTAGATATACTTTTTTAATTTTTAAATTTTATTTATTGTTATTATTATTAATTTTAAACTTGAACAGAGAGAGACAGAGAGAGAGGGAAAGTGAGGAAGCAAGCCGCCAGTTCCAGGACTCGAACCACAGTCAGCCATATGGAAGTCCAGGGCCGAAACCACTATGCCACCTGCTGGCCCCAGAGTGAGTATACTTTTTACAATGCTATTGATACATCATGTAGAGTTCATTGAAATTTGCCTTTTTCTTTCATGTGAATGAATTACATAAGTGCTTTTTAGCAAATGCCAGCTTTATAATTATCTTAAGGTTATTTATATCTAGATTGTCTTTTGCTTGTTTCATGAAGGCCTTATGTTAGACTAAATGTTTCATTCATTTTTGTTGTAGATCCTATTAAACTTTGGTACAATATTTCTTTCTTGTTGATGGAAGAGGGAATCACAAATTTAAAACCCATCTAGTTTTAGCCTCTGACACCAAGATAAAGTGCTTACATATGGCTCTTTGGAATTTAAGTTACCTTGGAAATAATCACATTTTTATCACTCTAGAAATTATGGAGTACGACTGAAGTTACTTCATGACTTCTTTCTTTTCAGTCTAGAGTTTATTTTTAACACCTGTTACATATGGATTCATAGAGAATAGGTTCTGGAAGCTCAGGCTCCTTTCCATTGGTTCTCAACAAGTGTGCTTCTCTGGGTGAGCAGGCTGGTGCTTCAGTTGAACACAGGTACCTTTCTCTTTGGCTTCCTTCTTTTTCTGGTCATTTTCCTTCACATGTTTTAGGAAGCTCTCTCTGCTCTTAGAATGCTTAATATGCTCAATACGCACATTAATTCTCTTGGCAAGAATCTTACCTTCAACTTATTTGTTTATAATATTAACAGCATGCTGGGTGACATTGTAGATTCTTCTCCTAGTTTGTTGGGAAAGTCATGATGTATTTTTCTGTTTTTCTATTTAAAAATGTCATGACTTGCCCCACAACCCAGCAGTTTTGCCATGGTAACATTTGTGGGGCATTACTTTTTGAACAGTGACCATTCTCTTGATGTCTAAAATATTACCTTTCTTGTAGATTTGCATGTATGTTGTCAAAGGAATGACTCCATGTTTTCTAAAAGGTCTAGAGATATAGATATAAAAGGTCTATATATATATAGGGTGCCTCCCCTCTTTC